GAATTCTGGGAGTTGAAGTCCACACATCTTAAAGTTGCTGAGGTTGAGAAACACTGTCTTAAATGAATATCAGGAGACTGCAGTGAGTTGAAACTGAGGCAATGAAGCCAAGAGGTGGATTGGCAATGGGAACAGCAAATATTATGCTGGTATAATTTTTTTCAGCTCGAGGGGTGGAGAGCACTTCAGCTCAGTAGTGAGGAAAGACCCATAGCGTATAATTTTGGGATACAGAATTGTGGAGGACAAAGCATCAGAATAATCCAAACCAAATCCAGGGCTATAAAGACTCACACAAATGTAGAGACAAATGAAGTATTTGAGGGCTTGAACATTTACATAAGTAAGGGAGAAAAAGGAGAACAAATATACCATTATTCATATCCCACTAGTGACTAGTTCTACGGGTGCAACATCTACTCAGATTCGATTTTATTTGGAAAGAGATCACTCAGGACTGGTTGACATTCTGTAGCATTTGTGTTTAATTACAAATCCAACTGGAGCAAAGCTGCTAAAATCACAGCTAAAATCAGAGATCCACAACTATGAGTCCCCAAGCCACCAAAAACCTTAAGTTCATCTTCCAGAGACCCTTCAAAATTTGCCCCATACCATGAATATGAGAGAAAGCAGGTTTAAAAATTGTGTATTATGCTTCAAATACATAGGTATAATTACATTTATTATTTATCCTGATTTTCATTTAATTAAAAAGGAAGTGAAACCAGATGTGGTCTGTGCTATACCCACTACTTTTATTACAAGGTTACAGTAACAGAATTGTAAGCTTCCCCTTCCCTCCCTTTATCATTGTGAGAACTAGGGAGGGTCAAGCCTAAGATGCTTTCTCAGATTACGTCTCCCCGGATTCAAATTTCTTTTATCTGACCATTGTCTTGGTTGTGGCTCTTCCTCCTGTTCCTCAAGGTTATTCCTTCTTCCCATTACAGGTCTCATCCCTTAAATGTTGTCATCTGATGGGGCCTCAGAGGTACACCTTCTCTGTAGCCACCCCAGCCCTTTGGAATAGCCTCCCACCTGAGATTCAAGGGATCCCTACCCTTTTAGCCTTCTGGAAGGCCATGAAGACCTGGATCTTCCCCCAAGCATTGTGCCTAGGTTGGGGGTTGAATCAGGAGGCTGACTGGTCTGGCACTTGGTGGGAAGGGTGGTTTTGTTTTTATTCTTGCTTTTATCAGTTATTGTGAGCCACCTAGGATCATTATAAAAGATAGGGGGCCATATAAGTTCTATAAACAACAAACAAATAATTTAAAGCTACTGATTTTTAAAACTCTTGAGTCAGACAAAAGCTTAAATATTTTTAGAAAGTTTCTTTTAGCATTGGGATGAGCTGACTTCATTGGAATCTTTTTCAAATGCTTATTGTCTGCCTGTGCTTTATTTTCAGCACTGAAACATCTCTGTAACTCAGTATATAAGTATGTAAAAGAGTGATTGAAATAAGTAATTGACACTCAGTTAAACAACAACAACTTTCCTGTGTCTATGGAAGGACCCAGGAAGAAAGACATATCTCCAGCAAAAAGAGGGTCTCAACCTTCTACAACTTGCACCATCTTTTATAGCATTGGGACATGTTAAATAAATTCTGTCTGTCTGTTCAAATTTGGCTAATTTTCCATCAACCCAAACAAATAATTTCTTCATTTGTTAAGAAATGTGACAATTGATACTAAAACAGCCATAATAATGAGGTTAATTGCATTTTAAATTTCAAGTCTTGCATTGGAAAATGATCCATATTTTATAAAGATCTCTTAGCTGGAACAAGTTGTTTTATTTCCAAAAGGAGATATATTTCCAAATTCTAAATGGATTTAAAAAGAACAATTTGTGGTAGCTTTTGTTGAAAATTGTTTATTAGAAATAGAATAGCTAACATTGTATTATTTATTTCTTTATTTCCTACTTCTATTCATAGGGTATCCTTACCATTGGCTATTAATAAATCGTGATGTCTCAACTAAGATGCCTAATATGAAGATGGAGGTTGGATATACCCATCCTTCCATATTGTGTTATTTATATAAGAAAGAAGCTTTTAGATATTACCTAATTTTTTTCAAAAATAAATGATCTCAGGATTGTTCGCGAGTCCTCAAACTGTAATGGTAAGAGTAAACCAGCAAAGTAAAGTAGAAAACAAATACATGAATTTTGGAAATGCCAGGGGTTTCATTGCTGCTATGCTGCCTGATAATGTAAGATAAAACTTAGTCCATTTTTAAAAACCTGCTTGATTTTCAACCATAAGTTATGTAAATGGCCAACTACAACCTATTACTGGTTTTAGTGATTTGCACACCCATATAAATTTGTTCCTTTACAACTAGAATATTCAACAAGTCTTCAACAAGTCATTTTGTTTAGTTAGAGGAAGACGAAAACAGAGCCTCTGACTTCATAATTTATTTGGAAAGGCAGGGTATAGATCAGGAGTCTCAAACTTGTGGCCTACAGGGTACATGAAGCCTCCTAGGTTGCTTTTCACAGTCCATACCTGCATCAAGATGCTGTCACAGCTCAGCTCAAGGGCTATCAACTCACTGGAGCCACAGCTTGCAGAGGACGGAGCAGGAACACATCCTTATTCCTACTGTTTGGGCAGGGACAGTGTTCTGTCCCCCCCCCCCCCATTGTACCAAGAGGCACACTTCTCTGCCAGCTAAATTGCTGAGAGGGGCCACACCACTGCTGCTTCCTACTCAGGCACCCAACTAATAGCTGCAGAATGCAAGGAGGCCCTGAGTGACACCAGCCCTACCCGGCTGCCTTCCCCTCAGCTGTGGTGGATGAAGGTCATCTCAACTCAAATGGCAGGAACAAGGTGCTTTTCTGGCACAACCCCAACTATCCAACTTTGCCAGATGAGGGCCAAGATTATGAATCTGCTGATCCTCCATGGCTCTCCTTCATCTGTCACCCAGAAACTGTGTCCAGACAGGACTGCCTGTCCTCTTGCACTGAATTACCTCCTGCTCAGCCCTCATGCATCACAAAGCTGCTAATCCCAGGTCCTGCATCAGACTGACTGCTTTCTACTCATGATAGCCCTACAAGATAAGCGAGGCTTAGACTCAAATTTTAAACTTGATCTGAAACCTTCATGTTTCCTTGTTGATTTATAAGTGGAAAACATCAAATAGCAGTCAGCTTTTTTCTGTGTAAACAGACTGTATTTATTTAATAATTTTTTAGTCTTTAACAAAATTATTTTATTTAATTAAATTTTATGTTGATTGAAATACCATGATACTCTTCATTTTTGACTTACTATAGACTTTTGTATCAGTATATGAAGAAGGCTTCAATGTTGCAGCCTTCTGGTTAATAAATTAGTCTTCACGATAATTTGAGTTTGAAACTCCTGGTTTAAGTGTTTCCACAGTAGAACTGAGTAGCATTAATTTAACCTTGTGCATGACTGAGTATATTTAGGGTTCAATTCAACCCCATTGGGATTAGTTAATTGGATGAATCAACCCCTTTTTGATGTTCCTACAATATATTAAACCTTTAATTGATCCAGTTAAATTTATGGTGAAAAGAGGAGCAGTAACACATTTGATGTCCTCTAATGACAGGAAGACTGAGAAATCTATATATCTCTGTGTGTCTGTATATGAAAAATGGGCAGATAGAGCTATTAGCCCATACATTCACACTGTCCATTCCATTTGGGAGAAGCCTGCCCTTCAAGGTTGACCGTTTCAAGTCATTCTTCTGGGAAGACAGAACTCAATGCATATTTATAATAAAACAGACATTTATTCAAGGCTATCCCTAGGTGGGAATTATCTTTTTGCAGAGAAGTTACCATACATATATATTTGCAATGCACTAAGGGTAAAAAGCAATATGTATGTCATGCAATAAATATAGAACATTAATCTTACCAGTTTGCTGCAAGCCTATAAACATGGATTTTTAAAAGCACTCCTCAAATATATCATTTGACCTCACTGCTTTACTTACTTGGCATTACTCTTGCTGTTCATTAGATTTGCTCTTCATTCACCACTTCCTGCAACATAATTGACTACATTTATTAAATTTGCCACCTTGGGGCAAATGCGAGGCCATTTCTGAAGGCATGGAGTAATCAGCTATCTTGTTGTGATATTTCTCTGTGACATTTGGGCCATTGATCCTGAACATCTCACTGAGATATTCTTTCATTTCACTACTGAGAAACAATATAGATGTTTCCATTAGCAACGTTGTTCCATTAATTTTAAGTTGGTATTAAAAAGTTGGTATCATAAAAAGTCACAAGTTAGTATTTATGATTTAAAAACAATCCAGACGTTTCTCATAATCAGACATGGTGTGAAGGGTTGTGTGCAAGAATAAAAGCTCTGAGCATTCTAAATGGCCATGGATTATAATTTCATTCCATGTATAATCTAATGCTTAGGTTACTTACCTCTAAGTTTTAAATTTGTGTTTAATCAGTCAGAGCTCACTTCAGAGTGGTAACGCCATCCATATGTAGGGTGCCCAGATGCAATAGATTTCTGCAGCTTTGATAGTTGGTTAAAATGTGTGTGTTTTATAGTTATTTTTACCTGTAATTGTTTTTTATGTATTCATTCTTTTTAATTGTTGTATGCTGCCCAGAATCTCACTTTTATGTGAGATGGGTGGCTATATAAATATGATAAATAAATAAATAAAAATAAAGAATTCTAGCAGTTAGAACTGGTCGTGCAAGATGCACCTCCTGACATATGCTCTTCTTCCTAATTGTTAAAGGTATAGCAATTCTATCAGCATTTGCAACTGTACATGGTATTCCTACAGACATTTTCTACACAAAACACAATAGCAGGAGCAAGCATTACTGTAGTACACAAGGAAGGAAAAATATCTGATTTTTAAAAATTATTTCTTTGAGATGATTTTATTAATATTCATATCATACCATCCAGTAACAAGGTCTTTGCCAGCTAACAGCATTACAAGATATATTATTATTTAATCTACATAAAAATAAACCTTTACATTAAGTAAAGACCATGCTGTTAATGTACCCTTACTGAAATAGTGCAAAACCTAAAGGTGCACTGAAGAAAGAGAATTCCTTCATTCAGATTATTTATAGGCAGCATGTTTGAACATAAATAAATAGCTTCACTGTGGACCATTTATTTCATTTATCCCATTTTTAAATCTCATAAAATAATTTTCTACGCATTATAGAATTCACTTAAAAATGTTGAGAACTGAACAGTGTAATAGAGGAGCCGGCAGGCAGCTAGTGGCCTTACAGTGGTTAAAAGGGCTGTTGAAAATGGACTCTGGTCTGTGGGTTTCTATCCAGAATAAAGTTGGCCGGGAAATCTTAACTGAACGGAGCACTTTCCACTAACTAGGATGTATGGGACAGTGGCTTAGACTGGGACAAGACTTACTGAAGCATTCGAGGGCACCCCCTGGGAGAAGAGGAACAGTGTCATGGGAACAAGCAGATAGATGATCCCAGAGTCTGGCTGGGGTTGCAGATGGCAGAAGTTAAGAAGATCAACGATTTACCTGTCAAAGAATAACCAGCCAGTCATCACTTCAGTCTGGGAGTGGATCGTACAGTGCCAATTAATTACTTAAGTGCTTTCCTTACATCTAGATTATTAAACAGGAGTAGAACAATAGTCATCAGGGGCTGGAGGGAGATACAAATAGGTTAGGAACACCCATTTATTAAGCACACAGTATATGCTGGAAAGATGTGCGTCATTGGAATGTTGTTGAGAACAGACACAAGTCTAGTAAAATGTTTTAAGAATGCAAGGCTGAGATGCTTTGCTTGCCTAGAGAAAGGCGGAGGAGATTCACTCACAAAAGAATGCAGAACAATCAGCAAAACTGAAGTTGAAAAGTACTTGTCAGCTTCTGGGAAGGCTTGGCTGATATCTAAACTGCTTATTTTTGTTATTTTGTTTATTATTTTCTTAATAAACAAGAATAAAAGTGGTATTTCTGTGTTCTTGCCTGTAACAATCTGATCCTGAACCCATGTGCATGTGCCCCCAGTAATAGCATCCATGTGTGACTTACATACAACATAAAGCATTCCATGTACCCATGCAATGTAGTACTTTATTCCATGTCTTCTTGCAAGACTTTTATTTCATATATTGTCCTCATTTGTTATCACTTCTTTGGTTTTGAAGTAATCTCTTAAAAAGTCTGGATGAACTTTCATAGTCTTCTGGCTTCATTATTTCTTCTTTGATCTCATTTTTTTCACAAATGAATTCCTGGTCATGTTAAGAGAAAAAAATGAATTGAGTATAATTATAGATAACATTACCTAAACAACATGAAGGGCTTAATATTACCAAGTATACTCATTTATATAAATGCATGAACATTACATATATGCAAATTGTATACCCACATGCAGGATTTTGTGGCATATAAATTGGAGATGCTTTGGGAAATTTGATGTCTTTAAAAACAGAGACAAAGCTTTGAAAAGCAGTCATTTGTTTATTGCAGAAGAACTAATACAGGTTGAAAACACACAAGTGAGGAATTAGAATCAAACTTATATTGAGAATATTACTAAGATCATATCTGCACTGCCAGGTTTACCCATCACAAGTATGGACCATCAACCACTTCTGGAAGGCAAGAATGGATGATGTTGTTCTCTACTTGTTCTCAGTCCACTGTGAATGTAGCCTCCACTTGCGTTCTCTTGCTCAGGGTTGAAAACAGTATTTTCAAACTTGTGCTGGCCACTTTATCTGCCACACTTTACTCTCTTCTAGGCAAATCCTTGCATTTCCGTAGTACATGCAGTGGCAGGATCACCCCTCATCTGGATCAACGGTCACTGCCCAGCAGGTCTTTAATGTCTGCTGCACCTACTATTACCAATGATGTTCCAGTAGCATTGTGCTTATAACATTTCCTGACATGCAGAACAACCTCAACTCGAAACCCAGTGGATTCCAATCATAGGTATATCCAATATCAGTGGGGGGGGGGGGGGAAGGGGGTGGAGGAGATGAGGCAAGGGATGAAAAGTGTGTCACAATGTCACAATCCAAACCCTGCCTCTAAAATGCTTGTCTGTGATGTCACAATGCAAGTATAAAAGGACAGAGCTTGCATTCTGATATCATGATACATTTGTTTCATCATTTTGACTAAGAATGGATGCCTATGATTCCAGGGTCTCCAGGTTTAATCTATTTCTTTCAAATCCAACATCACAGAAATAAGTGTAGAAGTATCATTTGTGATACATTATAACTTCTCCTTCCCTTTGTCTTAATTAGGAACATTCAGGTCAGCATAGACCTTACTTGAAGTCTTAACAGAGAAAAGTAGAAGCATTAAAAGAAGACAAAAGACCCTACAAAGGTACTTGCAGAAACTCACAGACATTGCTTGAGACATGTCTTGCCTTGAATTTTAGTGATAAAGGGGTGGCTTCTCTTGCTGTGGCCTTCTTAAATTGGATTGAAGCCTTGATTACAGGCTCTCTTTAAGTAATAAATCTATTGAAGGCTCTAATATTTTTTAATGGGAGACATAAAATCTAAAGGATTTATAAATTGTCTTGCAAACTCACAGCAAGAGTTAATCTGGACTAACATTTTGCCTCATCAGCAGCTAATCATGGGGAAAAAGTCTGAACAAAAGAGAGATGATTGAGATAGTATTTCCCAGTATCTCAGTATCTGGTAATTTGAGATGCACTGCCTCTAATGTTGAGCTTGATCGATTGTGGATGTTAGCAGTTATGAGAAATATTTACTGGATTGTAAGCATGGTTAATGAAAAAAGTAAGAGGTGCATTATTCTACTACTGACTATACATAAACTAGAGATAATGACTAACATAGTTATCATGAGCAACCCTTAATGAACTCATGATGAATTGTGGAATGGCCTGGGCAACAGCTTGTGCAGAGGGACCAAAGCATTGAATCTGATACCGGTGCAAGGATGAAAAAACAACAGAAGCTTTGAGGTAGCAGAATGATACCAGTGATTACTATTTATAGATAAATGTTCCTTCACTTTAGGTTTATGCTTCATTCAATAGTCATAGATAAGATGTTCTCTGTATTGAGCAAGTTTGATTTGGAAGCACTAACAGTTTTACCTACTTGGATCATGTTCAGCTTAGACTGGAAAGTCATTTCCTCCAAAGGACCATAATGCTTCTTATAGCAGTGCTCTGCCATGTTGGAGATTCCTACCAGCATCCTGCTTAATTCTCGGGTCTGCAAGAAGTATAAAGAAGTGGATAGATTAGATCTTATTATATTACCGACAGTGCAAACCTTACGGATATGTATTAAAAAATGAGTTGCCTTGAATTCAATGTATTAACTCACATTTGGAGAAGTTACAGGTGGCTACTTATCAACAATAAAAGGAAAGTTAAAAGGAAAAATCATACAGCAACATCTTCCTTAACATTATTATGAATATTCCAATCAATCAGATATTATTCTTCTGCTATTGTTCAAGTAGCCTTCCTGTCTGATCAAAATTCTTTTCAAGGCACCTTGTATGGTAATTGTTTCTTGCAATGAATCAAAACCTTTCTAATAATACAAGATGCAGAATCATCCCCCCACCCTCACCCGAAACTTAAATCCTGGAAAGGGAAAAGGTATATTTGGTATTTGTTAGCCAGACTTTACTCCAATGCAAATGTGGCAAGATACAGTAATCTCAATTAAAATTCAAGTCCTTTCACAAATATGTGATCATGCTGCTTAGTTCTGTCTTCTTTTAGAAGTTTTATCCCAACTGATCATTTCTTTTTCTGTCCAGCCTGCTTTCCAACCAACTGCACTTGTTACTGCCTGTAACTTCAAGAACTAAATGTGCTTTCACAGAACAGCTTTGCTGTGCTAATCTCCTGTCCTCATGCCAATAGAAAATCATACAGCTCTAAATCTTTCTGCCCCCAGTGCACCCTTAGCACACACCTGGAATGGTTTTGGGCTGGGCTATTGTCCATACAGATTCAATGCACAGCATTCTAAAGGCCATGATTGGTTGGCTCCCTTTGCTGAAATGCCAGGCCTGTCCCATATCCACCACATGAAAGGGTCTCCTCCAATTGGCAGGCACTTAATTCTTTTCTTTTCTTTTTCATTATACCATTGATTGAGTGAAACCTTTTACATGTATTCTTTAAAACTATGGGTTCACCAATCAACAATCTGACTATCGACTACTAGGTGGCAGTACAGAGAGTTTGTACATCTCTTGGCTACCCTCTACTGTTTATCCAGATCTGTGCTGCATCTGGATAAGTAGTTTGAGAAAGAGGTTTAGGTGTGGGGATTAGCATAGGAGCTATAAATTACCCTAAGAACGTTATGTGAGGAGAGGAAATAAGGAGGCAGGTCTCCTGGGAACAGCAACCATTGGGAAGGGAATTGCTTGCCAGGTAGGCTACAGAAGTACAAAAGACAGACCTTTCGGTTACACTTCCCATTAACTGCATGAAGCCCAGATAGGCCAGTTAGTTTCAGAGATTTCCACTCTCTAGAGCAGTGTTTCTCAATCTTGGCAGCTTTCAGATGGGTGGACTCCAACTCCCAGAATTCCCCAGCCAGCACTGGATGGAAAGGGGTAGCCCAATAGGAAATTGGCAAAACCAATTGGAGCCACAAATTTGCTGTCACAGAATGTATGTCAGCCTTGCAAGGAAGTCCAGACAAGAAGCACACCCAGAAAAACTAGCTCTACTTTGCAAGGTTACATTAACAGAATCTTGCAAGTCTGAAAGTACATTTCTCCCCCATTGCCTTTACAGCCCAAGAAACTAGGGAAGGTCCCTTCTGAGATGTTTGCCATGCCCCATTCCTGCTGCTGGTTAAGCTGCCTCTTATCCAACCGTTGTCCTGGCTGTGGTTCTTCCCCTGTCTCCCACGGTCATTCCCATTACAACATGTCATTCCAGGCTGCCTCCCCACCAAGTGTCAATGTGCCCTATATTCCTGTTTTTCTGTTTTCTTTTTCATTTATGTTTGAGTGTTTTATGGTTTTTATTGTTATTATCTTTTGTAAGCTGCCCAGAGTCAGGTTTTGTGTGATGGGCAGCTATATAAATCTGATAAATAAATAAATAAATAAATAAAGTAAGTACTGTAAGTAAGTAAGTGTCTGGAGGAATACTAAAGAAGGAAAACACCATGGCTAAAGGAAAGCCATCTTTAGCCATCTTTCAGCTGCTTCAACTGTGGGTGGACAATGAGGTACTAAGGATGGCCTGTAGACATCCTGTCTGGAAACAGAGTGCCATGGTCACGGAGGACCAAGGAGGCTATGCGGATTTGCCCTAAATTATGCTACTTCTTAAGAGAAGCTATAGGTGACTGTCTATCTTTCTTGGTCCTCGGAAATGCTGGCAGCTTTTCAAGCCCTACATAGGTGGCAAACTCAAGAAGCAAGAACCAGATGGATTTCAGGAAAGCATTTTTAAAGCTAGTCAGGGTAAAAACATAATGCTGAAAATTGTAAAAAGAAATTCCCAGTCAGATTATAGCAAGCCAATTAAGGCAGAGTCTCTTTGAAATGTTTCCTTCTCACAGTCTCCACACTGGGCTGGTCTGCCTCTTCTCATAGCCTCTGAAGTCTTTCTCCACCTGATTCTTACTCAGCCTAACCTGTTTCTCTCATCTGTTCACTGTCCTAGGAAGCTAGTTTTTATTTATTTGTTAAATTTACATCCTGCCTTTCCTTCAGGAACTGTGTAATTGTTCCTGAGATCAATATGATTGGAGCTACCAACAGTTGTCAACTAAGCTACACTTGGTATTTGTTTATCATCCCACCTTTCAACAAATGATTGGATTATTTCCTCTTTCCATATTTTTCTGACTCTTCTGCATCCTTTCTCAGGGACCCTAACCATGATTTGTGCACAATCTGCTTCTGTACACCAACAGCTACAACTGAACATCCTCTCCACTTTGCCTTCGGGAGGCCTTGGTTTTTCCATTTTTGTTTCCTTCCCAACAATCAGTGACAGTAACAAGAAAATAAAGACAGAACTACCAGTGGGTCCTACCTACACATTGGTGCAAGGAATGTTGCCCTTGTTCGGCTGCAACAGTGGCATCTTCAAGTGAAAATAATCTTTCTCCATTGCCACTCTAGCCTGAATGCAGCTATGCTGGAAGAAAAGGGTGGGTGGAGGCTTTGAGAAAAAGAAGTGCATAAAACTTACCTGATGATCTGTGAGGCCTTCTTTATTATCAATGTAATATATCAGCTGTGTGTTTCTTTCCTTCAGTTTGTTGTACTTTGACTGGAGCTCAGAAACTTTGCCAATCAACACCTAGGTTAAACCATACAATGGAAAAAAAGGATGTGCTAACCTTTGCCAAAAAAAAAATCTGTGCATCTGATTCCTGTCATCTACACGGTTACATTTGCACATAAATGTGCCATGCTGGTGGATTTACGGTAATACAATTTGGCTACTCAGTCAGTAGACTGGCTAGATTGCACTACAATTGTTTTGGCCCTTGGGAATATTTAGTAGAAAAATCAGGACTGTTTTGCCTCCCCATCTAAAAACTGCTGCATAGTTGTCCTAAGAATAAGACTTGGGCTGCTTCAACAACAGCAATAGTCAGTGACAATATTTGTTCAACAGATTTATAACCTGCTGGTCATTTAGGAGTGTACATAACCCCACAACAATCCTGTGAGGTAGATTGGGTTAGGGAGACTGTCTGAAGATCACCCATTGAGTTTCCATGGCTGAGGGTGCACTAGAATCTGGGTCAATAAAAAGAGGTCCTTATTTTGAGTGTGTTTTTTCTTTGCTCCAGTTTAACACACATCTGGGCTGGACAAGGTCTAGGAGGCAGAACAACTGCTTTGCTTGCCAAACATCCCAGTTCAGTCCCTGATACCTTCCATTAAAAAGTTCATACAGCAGGTGATAGGAAAAATCTTTAAGACTTAAAGAATCACAGAACGTAGATCAGAATCTTCTAAGTTCTCTGACTGAGTTGCAGCAAATTGCAAAATAAGTCTGCTTCAACATACTGTATTGCTGATTTTTTAATGGTACCCTGGATTCTGCCTATTAGTTAGACCAGCTACTTAGTTTCTATTCCCAACAAACTATCTTGCATCAAAAATGTGCAGACAGGTCATCCTGTACTTCCACAAAAAAGAAATTATGACCCTCCACACATTGCTAAACCAAAATTCCCAGCATCTCTGGGAATGGCTGTGCTGGCTAGGATTGCTACTAGCTGTAGTATAGCAACATCTAAAGAAGCACTGTGTTCTCACCTCTGTGCTATTGGGAGAATCTGCCTACACAACCCATCCATTGGCCATAATGAATAGCATAATTCAGCTAATAAATATCTTGCTTACTTTAATAAGGTCATACTGAAATATATAGAATGGTATACACTCAAAAGGGAGGCTATAGCCTTTTTTCCCCTGACAGATTATCCACTTATATCCCGTTTATAAAAGAGAAATTCAAAACATTTCTATGTCTTTGTGGCATGGCCGTAATTAGACCCTAATTATCAGAAAATATGTGGACCGATACTTAGAGAAGGAAGCACAGGATTCACAGCGTGCTTTGCATTGTTAATCATTTTTAAAGCTTTATCCTTTTCAGAAAGCAGGATTGATCCCATATGAAGGAATCAGCAGAGAATGTGCACGCTGTGTAGCATGGATAAGCAGGCCTGTGAAGTAAATGGGCAGTCATGGATCAAGCATCACAAAACTACATGGTCAGGTAACATTACAAATCTCATGGTGCTGTGTTCGTCTTGTACGGCAGCATGTTCATGATGGATTTTCTCAATGTTTTCTTGTTGGGTGAACAAATGCTTCTTCAGGCTCTGATTTGCAGAGAACAGGGTCTTATGCCTTTGTGTGATGGTTTTAATCACAGAATCTTCCTGATATCCCCAAAATTCTGTAATAGGAAAGAGGGGAGGTCATGTTATTCATGAAGAACACACATTAGGCAATGGTTGCATGTGGGAGAAGGGCTTAGGGACCCCCACCTGAGTAAACCAGAAGGGCCAATCACTACATGTGTATTCTATTACAGCTTCAGACTGGGAGACTGCTTATATGAGAATATGCCATGAAAATCATTCATCTGCATTAGAGAGATGATCCAATTTCTCCAAGACCAGAACAGCTTAGTTTTCAGACCTGCCCTTCTGTCCTGCTCTCCAGGCTTGAAGAAAACACTTGCAGAACATAAAAAAGGCAGATACTGATCATGACTAAGAGGCATGTTGGCTTTTCCTTTCAGAAATGAACAAAGAATAAAATAGCATTGCAGTCCTACTGCATACTGTACATGCCTCTGAAGAAAAGTCATTCAGTTCACTGTGGCTTACTGCCAGGTAAGAATGTATAATTAATGTTGTATAATGCAAAGAAAGGATTTTAGATGATAGGTGAAAGAATGAGCTGTCAACGTGTGGGGTCTGACAGGAAAGCCCCAAGCCCTTCCTTTGCCCACTTTTTCATATAAACTTCCATGTCTAACAAATCTTTACTTGTCTTGCATTAGTTTCTGAGGAAAATAAAATTGCTTTATTTCAAAAGTCTTGTGTTTGTGAAGCGGGGAGTGGCTGATTGATATTGTCCATAATTGCTACTTAAGTCTTAGAATCTTATTTGCAGTCTCTTTGAATATACGCATCATTTTATAAGTTACTTTATTATTTAAGAGATGGTGTTAATGATTAAGGGTCATTAAGACCCAATTTACAGGTTTTAACAGTTTTGCAAGCTGTTATGTGGCCTTTGTAAGGGTATGGCACAATTCCAAGCAAATAGTTCTCAAGAAATGATTTAATGATGGTACACACCTGGTGGTAACATGTTGACAATTTTTTTCACAAAATGTTCATAACTTTTATATTTGTCTAGCTTCTTCTGTAGTTCCTTTTGTCTGAAGAAACAGATCAAAGATATTTATTGGTGTTTTATCAAAAATATCTTGCCAGGAGGTAGCTATATATTATCAATCATCTAGTAGAAGGATTGTCATGCCACTATAGCAAAGCAAAAAGGGTCCTAAAATTACCCACAAACAGCACTTACACTCGAGATGGAGCAGGCAAACGGGTTATTAGACCAGTTTTTCCTTTATAGTGAGACGTCCTGTATTTCTACTTACATTATCTACACTCACAAATGATAATATGTAAATTGTATCCTAATTGGTATCTCCTTTGTTTTAATCATATTCTTCCTATTTTTTTTTTATGATGTCCAAGTGCCAACTTATATTACTTACCTAGAATCACTAAATCAGACATCATTGTATATGGTGACAAATGTGCCATTTATCAAAAATTACTATCCCCATCACCATAGTGAAACCGTGTGTGTTTGCTTTATTGTCTGGCAAAACTTTAAAGAGAAAGATTACTTCTGAGTCAGGCAGCTTAGGAAACCCAAAGGGGATTAAGAGAGAAAGTGTTCTAGTTAAGAGAGCAAGTGACAGAAAGGTTGCTTGTGAGTAAAAGGTAAAGGGTTTTTCTGCCTGCAGCACTGTACCCTGGTGGCATTTGAGTATGAGAGAGGTAGACTGGCTGGAAAATTCCTTCTCTGAAAAGAATTCCCCAGGATACTGGCTGGGGAGAGGACTGAGGCCAAGAGATTGAGAAGCATCCAATGAGGGTCAGTTGGAAATGGACTGGGACTGGCAGAAACAAAGAGCAGCCAAACCTAGATTTGTACCAGGAGCAGAAGGGACAGCAAGAAGAATCAGGCAGAGCCAGAATGAGGAGAATGGAAACTGCCCCATGAGACTTTTGCAAGGCAGCCAAGGTTGTAAGCAGAGAGGGGGAAGATTGGATTGTTTGAGTATGCTTATGCTTTTAAATTGTGCTGGATTTTTTTAGAGTCTTCTTGGGTGAGGGGAGAAAGAGAGTCTCCATTTTCAGAGAGGGACTGCATTTTCTTATTGTTCTGTGCACATAGTAAGTTAAGCTGTTCTTAACTTTGGTTCTGAATTCAGGTAAAGAAGTAAAGAGTTTGTTCATGACTAGCAATGTTTCTTCACTCTTAGCGGTTGTGTGGGAGGAGAAGGGAAATGCCATGGGGCACCCTGCTGGTTGGAGAGTTGGCAGAAATGAGACTGATAGGGATCCCACAATTTGGAGTTCCCCTTGGGGACAGCATCTCAAACTCAGGACTAGCCACCGTGTATAAAACACAGCTACCCAAATGGGACTTTAAGAAAGTGTGCAATAGAAGTTTAACCACAGTCTTTCACTTCAAATTCATTTTAAAGCAGTTTTATATCAGATCAAAGTATGTATTAATCTAGTCCAGTATTGTCCACTGTCTCCTTTAGGAACACAACCTATTCCCTGAGATCTATTAACTAGAAATATCCAAGACTAAAACTTCTACATGAAAACATGTTTCTCTATGATGATTATCTCTCCCTGTTCATCCCTTAAATGTAATCTCTGGTCCCAAGGTATTATTCTACATCTCTGGCTATAGAAAATATTATAAAGTACTGCTGTATATTTTGAGGAATTAGACTGGATCCTTGGTCACTGTGATTCTAAGGCTGGGACTTGAACAGCATATCATTAAATATCCTGGTCAAGCTTGGCAAGTATTTCTGTTGTATACTGGAAATATCATAGGTACTAAATAGCTGGGTGACTTTTTTAAATACCCTTCCATATGATCAGGAAATATTTTAAGTGTGATATCTGAATTAGCATAACCAAAGCAAATGAAAATAATGTGCTGGGCATTTCCTAAAGATCTATCTCAGAGTTAGAAATGTTGACTGCCTGCCCCAGTGTTGACCTGCACCTTTTATTTCTATACCTAGCCAATATCTTTTAAAAATGAATGCAAATATTACAGCTTGCCAGAAGCTTTTAGTGATCTCATTCTAAAGGAAATAAAGCATGAGTAAATGCTGTGTTTCTTAACATTTGTGCTGTTCAGAGAGTAAGAAGTATATACTAGCATATCATACATAAACTAGTATATACAGGAGTGGGATGTATGTGCTAGTATGTCATACCTTTATCCAATTACAGATAAATTATCCAATTATGGGACTTATTTGGAGAAACTGCCCAGGGAAGATGCAAGTCAGTCTCACTCTTCCCAGCTCTGGTCACCATGACTGGCAAAGCAGTCCTTTGCCCCCATTTTATTGATAAAAGCTAACTGAATTGGTTGTCAAATACTTCTTCAGCACTTGTGAAAGGACTTGTTGAGGAGATGCAGGACATCCTATAAGCACAAGTAGCTGTGTCTGGGTCTCCAACATCTCAGTCCCACTTCCAGGACACCCTAAATATTTAGTGCCTGTGGCAGTCACCTCATTTTGCTTAATGGTACAAATAGCCCTGCTGGTTGCTTTGGGAAAACAGACATATGCAAGTACAGGTAGATAATAGACTGAATCTCCCTGAACCCTCTAGAACAGTGTTTCTCAACCTTGGCAGCTTGAAGATGTGTGGGCTTCAACTCCCAGAATTCCCCAGCCAGCATGGGAGTTGAAGTCCACACATCTTCAAGCTGCCAAGGTTGAGAAACACTGCTCTAGAAGGCCAAGCCTGAAATCACGAACCTATTCTATTCCAGATGCTGAACTACTTGGGTAAAATGTTATTTTAACAGAATTAAAATGATTTTTAGATTGGATTTTATGCTTTAAATTATAAAGATAATTACACATGCCATGCATATGATGAGCCCAAGATAATTTTATCTTGCTGTGGCAAAGTACCACCAGATTTGGAACTCCAACCATATAGGTTGGTTATATAATCACATATCCAAGTTCATGGTTTCTTCTCAATCTATCACATACCTAATTTTCAGTTTTTTAAGCTCTCTTTTCAAATTATGTATCTCTTGCTTCTTTACAGCATTGTATTCTTGTTCAGACTTGTATTTTTCAAGAGCACGTTTCTTTTTGAGATCATGTTCTTCAAGATATACTTGGAATCCATAAGCCTGAGTCCTGTTCTGATCAAGGAAGGAGAGAAAAAGTTTACTGAATTTTGCATTAGTTTTACTATTCAAAAGACCTTTTCCCCCTACATTGAACTGGGCTCTGTTCTGTTCAGTTCTTGGAAGGTTATTGTGCTGGCAGACAGACAGACAGACAGACAGACAGACAGAGTCCTGACCTTTACATAATTTCTTCCCAAATTCTGTTGAAGTGGAAAAAAATGAAAAGTAGACCGAGGGGAGATCTGAGAGCAATTTACAAATACTGTATGTGAAAGGCTGCACATGCAAAAGATGGCACATTTGTTCTCCAATGAAACAGAGGCTAAGACAAGAAGTGATGGCTGAAATTATAAGGAGATTCTTACTGGGTATTAGGAGGAATTTCTTGGTAGCAAAAGCTGCTAAAAGCTGCCTAGAATATAACTGGACTTCTATGGTGGAACTTCATAAGAGGGTTTGGAATACCACCTGATAGGGATGGATTAGCAGATTTGTCACTAAGTAAGAAATCAGACTAGATGTCATATAAGATCCGTTCCAATGTATCCATTCCACGGTTCTGTGGAACCGTTTACACATTTACCTAAGAATAAGTAGACATAAGGCCCATCCTCGCATCTTGCTTCAGCAAGCATTTTTAAGGGGATGTAGCCTCTGTCTCATCCCAGCCCACTGCAAAGGCAGCCTAGAGTCCATGTTACACATTCCACTGTAAAAGTAATATTGTTCCCCTTCACAAATTTTGGCATATAAATATTTTATGTTTCTTCAGTGATAGTGCCAGTGATGACAGGTGGAGCAGAGATATGCCCAGCTCCCACTGATCAATTACATCTATTGTGGGCACACCATTCTCCATCTGGTAGTTGGGCAGGACCCTCTACATGCATTTTGGTTTGGGCTAGAAAAGAGATTGGGCATCTGGCTTACACAGAGTAGATTTGTCAACTGGAATATATTGTTCTTGGTTTGTTTGACACAGGACTATTAAGCACACTCCTCTTACTGTATCTCCTAATGTTCAGCCAAAATCTGTTCTCTTACAGTTGAAGTTCATTAAATTGTGTGACAGCCCTTCTGGTTTTTGAAAATGCTATCATGTGTTAGAAATGTGCTTCATCTTAATAGCCAAAGGCAGAGGAGCTGACACAGTGATTTCAAATAAGCATAGAAGTGTAGAATTGGAAGGAACCATAAAGATCATCTGGTCCAAACCTCTGCAATGTGCAGGAAAACCAAATAAATAGCCAAGATCTATTCTCTGGAGAGTTGATGAGCAAACATGCTGCCTTCTGACTTCCCAATGCCAGGGTGCACAACCTTTCCACCAGCAAAAACCACACTGTAGCAAACTACCTTGTGAGATGCTCTCCCGGGGAGCCATGCCTTAGGCCCTAAAGACCCATGAAAGCCCACCTAATCCCTAGGAGCAATCTGGCATCTCCCTGCAGCCAATATACTCAAGACAAGCAATGCAGTTGGTTTTGTTCATCCTCTTTCCTCAAAGGAAGGGGAAAAGAGACCTTGCATAGGTGAGGGGGGATTGGTGGTCTCCTCACTGTCTTTTACTCTCCATCTATTGCCTGGAGATCTTCCCCATTTGGACCAGCAGCAGCTACTTGGGCTTGGTGGTTGAGGTTCTTCTTGTAGGCTGTCACTTTCTGGAAGCTGAGCTTTGCTCACTCAGACTCTCTCACTAAATTACCAAGTAAACAGTGTTGTAGGGGGTGGGCAGAAACAGGCTTCAGCAGGGTATTTTCTGTTACTGTTTTTCTTTCTCTCACTCTTTTTTGAAGATTTTCCATAGGAATATCAATCTCATGGCATGTCAATATAAAAATAGGTTTAAAAATGTATGGAAAAACGGGTATTGATGCCTAAGATCAATATTCATCTGAAAAACATCTGGAAAGAAAAAAGAGGACAGGAAGAAAAGCCAAGATTCTAATCAACAGGAAGCATAGAAGGAAATTGGGTTACTGTACAAAAAACCAAGAAAACTAGCATCCACCAAAAAAATTTCCAATGTAGGGCATCCATTTAAGTTGTTTCAATATCATATCCCAGCTTAAAAGTAGGAGCAGGTGTTTTGAGTCTCCTCCACATGACAAGAGGAGGAGTACTCATTCTCATGTGATGCCGCACTTTGTGTAAAATAGACCGTAGACTAAGCTCAGACTCTGAATACCCTCATCACAGCTGCAAAATAATACTTGCATTCTGATCTTTTTGATAAAGTTTCTCTCTGCGCTGGGCCACTGTTTCCATCCTCTCTTTGAACTCTTGCATCTTTGTACTCAGCTCGGCCGTAAGACAGTCATTTTCAGCTCCTTTCTTCAGGAGACGGAACTGTTGCAGGGCTTTCCTGTTAGGTTGCAGAACCTCTCCAGAAGTCTAGAAAATTAATTGTAATTTTATGTTGCTAAAAGGACACGCCAAACAAGAAAGGTGGAGAAGAGCAAGCTTTAGCCCAGATATGAGTATTTCCCACAAGCACTTCTAATGGTGGCTGGGATGAGCTGAAAATCATTAAATGTAATAAAGACACTATTCTGAAGCCAATAAGGATATAACAAGATTATCAAACTCTCTAAGAGAATGGTTTGTTGTCTGTAAACAAAAGAATTTGTAAAAGATACAGAAGACTGTGATGTTAGCAGCAGCTGGATGCATCCCAAGAGGTAGCTTAGCTGACTGACACCAAGAAAGGATGCTGAGGTTATCCACGCACTGCAAGGCTCTGATGCTGAAGAAATGCACCATACCCTGGGAGAAGACTTCCTCTGCTGCATGAGGAGCATATGGATCAAAAAAGAATATTACTGATAAATAATCTCTCTAATTCACTTGAGTTGTACTATGCTTAAGAGTTGGCCTCGTGCTTGCATTGTTCAATATCCCCTTCTAATGATCATGCAGTGCTGGACTGGCCATTGTATGGGAAGGGGAGGGGACAAGGGAGGAAAGTCACAACATAATTGTCCCTTAATTTTACACATAACAATTTGGTGCATAACATAATCTATTCCCTCTTCCTGTCATTTACTTTTATGTTTCTCTTGACATACCTCACTCAACTAGGTGGGCAGAACCACAGTTTTATAAACAGACATTTTTGCTTTTTTAAAAAACTAACATTCATTCCCAGAACAGACCACATATTATCCACTTACTACTAGCATTTGATTATTACTTTTAAAAAAGCTTTTCATAACCTTGTTTTTTCTTTTTTCTTTATAGTTATAGTTATAATAAGCTTTTTACAACATTGTAGTCTTTAAACTGGATTTTTATACTACTTTTTTTCCTTGTTCAAACTCATTCATATTTTCCTACGGAGAGACGAATGTGGAGTAAAAATCGTTAGCAAAACCCCCAGCGTGGATCTAACATTATGGGAAAAAGGAAGATTCGACATGGAAACAGTCCAAGCTCTCTTTCTTACATTATGGGAAAAAGGAAGATTCGACATGGAAACAGTCCAAGCTCTCTTTCTTACATTATGGGAAAAAGGAAGATTCGACATGGAAACAGTCCAAGCTCTCTTTCTTCTTCTTCAATGTCTGCTAAACAACCAAAAATAGAAGAACTACTTAAACAAAAGGAAACTGTAAGTAAAACAAAGCCTTTTCCTAACCCCCTCACAGCAGACCATGAATCATTCGAGTGGGATTTCCAAACCGAACTCGAAAAGCAACAGTTGTTAGATATCTCATTATCCCTTAGGGAAGAGCTAAATGAAAATTGGGTTTCCATCCAGGACTCACACCATGGGTCTCCTACACAATTAGCTAGCTCACCTAAAAACCGCAAGGGAAACAAAAACAAGCCTAAAAACAAGATACAA